TAGCCTGCCTATGTACAAAAACGATGCAAAATTGTTTAAACGTATACACACTCATTGAATAAACTACTCGTAGCAACAATATTATAGTGTTATATGGTAGTGCAAAAAATCATTGTCATAATAATTACGTTTGATTCGCGGTCGCAATGCATATAGTGACTGCATAAAATTATAAACATATACATAGGGATTGAGTGTGTGCTTGTGCTGCTGTTCGCTTCTGCTGTGTTTCTTGTCTATATGCTTTCATATTCATAACAATCATTTCGACAGTACAATTGACGAATACGATGAAAACGAGAACACGGTATTGCACGCGGTACAATATGAAGTGTAATGCTCAATGTGTGCGCATAGTTTGAATCATTTGGAATTATTATTGTTATTATCATGGAATTGGCTGCTGTTGCGTTGGTTTTTTTTTCTCTCTTCTTCTTCGTTTTTTCTCCTGTTCTCTATTTAGTTGAACATTTGCTTGCTGGTTTATTTTTTTATTATTTTGCAGTGGCAACAACAGCGACAGTAATTCCTTTCCACTGTGAATTTTCAATTGGGATTGTATTCCACAATATATCAGTATGCCGACGAACGAAATGAGGTAAAATAAAATACGAAATATAAAATCGTAGAAATGTTACTTAGTCGTACAATCACCGCAAATCAAGTTCTTTCTTTTCAATAACAACGAAAACTACTTGAATAATAGTAATCACAAAATACACAGTCTCGAAACACACACACACACACCTTCAGTTCAGAATTGCACATACACACACACAAATACAGCTGCGTGACATGCAATTGAGATAGGCACCGTTTTTTCCGTTAAGCAAATACACGACAATGTTTTATATATTGATGACTGCGACGGCGGAAAAATATACGGTATCGTAAAAAAGGTGCCTTTTTTAATGTCATTTTGAAAAATGTTCAACTACACTCACAGCCGATAATACGATAATATTTTGCTGTAATATGTATATTTCGTTGTTATTGGCATATTTTTTGTGCGAAAATCACATCGCGAGATAGTGATCGTTGAACATACCAATGGAGAGCGCCATCCAATGTGAAAATCAAATCAATGGAAAATACCACTCGATGTTTTACACATTTAAATAATATTCAAAACATATCCCATATATTCAATAATATGCAGTTTTAATTTATCGTTTGGCGTTTAATGTGAAGCTGTGTATGTCTACTCTTTTTTCGCTCTCTGTGTATACTGTTTAATTCATTTTTTTTCGCGTATGTTCATGTGGTGCTTAAATTGAGCCCCCTTTTCCTCCTTTTCCCATTCAATGTTGACTTTTCAAAAAAAAATTTGGTCCCACTGATTCCACTGTTTTATACTCTTCGAATGGCATAATTTTTTTTTGGTTTTCATTTGCGAAAATATGATATTGCCTTCAATCAATGAATGTGTGTATGTAGCATTTTTTTTTGTTTTTGTACAACTCTTATTTGAACACTCGCGCGCGCGTTTCGAAAATACAATGCAATCTGTGAGTGTGTACGCGCATTGCAGAGTGTATATTTGTTGTATGATATCCAAATGTGTATCACGACTATAGCACATAAATTGCTGGCATATCTTTAATCCAGTGGTTTAAAACGAATGCCGCGCACAATGACTGAATGATGCAGTTCAGCGCGCTGTTTTAAAAAAAAAGGTATCATAAAAAACCAACAACAGCAACAGAAAAAACAACACACATCAAACCAAAGACCAGCTAAACAGCACACGTCGCACAACATATTGCGAGCAAAAGAAAAGCAGTTGTTCTGCCCGTGCACATTGGCTATAGTTTTTTTTCTCGATCTCCCTCTCTCTCTCTCTCTCTCTCTCTCTCTCTCTTCAATTTGAGTATGTGTCTGTATTTTCCTTTCATTTGTTTTTCATTCAATTTTTTAATAACATTTTTTTTTTCTCGTCAAAATGTGATGCATTATTATTCTGCTATTGAGGTTTATAAAGTAGCTGTGGGGATGCCATGATGCAATTCAATGACTGAATATTGTAATTGTATGAGGCGGCATTTATAAAAGTAAAGATTCGTCTTTGGGTTTCCTGTATTTCGAAAAACATCAGATTTTTTTCAAAGTGAGCAAAACAGCTCAGAAGGTTAAAAAACGAATGATTCGATAGAATTGCTTCTGTATAAAAAAGACTGAAGGTTGATAATGATGCCTCATTTTAAGAGATTCCTTTTGTCATACCAATTCTAACAATCAAATGATCATAATTATCATTATCCGATATTACGAATCCCATTTCTACGAATCCCATTTCTATTAAATGTTACCTGTTCAACATTTTCATTGGTGCCATTTCAATAATTTTGTTTTCGGTGACCGTTTCGGTTACTTTTTAGAATTAACCCAAAACTGATAGACATTCATTCAAAACGTGCACGACCAATTCAGTTTCAGGGGATCAATGACAACAGTCCACGTGCTATAAAAAAAAAAACCAAGATACTGACTCACATTTTAAAAATGTACTTTGCTAACCAGAGGTCAAGATACCATATATACGATATAATTGTTGTTGGCTGGGACAAAAGTCGACTAAGAAATAATTCGGATCGCTTCTTGTTCACACAGAATGAATTGGGAAAAAAATTGAATCGCGATAAGAGATGAATGGTTAAATGAAACCTATGCAAGAAAATAACGGCAATAGGAACGGATAAAAAAATGTGCGTGTGTGTCTGATGAGAAAAAAAATATCAAAGAACATTTCATGTTTCGCATGAAAGAAAAGAATGGAAAAGTCGTTGGCGAATAAGATGGAAGGTTACTTTTGCCTTTTTATTCATCCACTCACTCTCAATCATTTGACAAAAGATACATAAAAAAAAGACCGAGAGACGGAAAGCATGAACAAAAAAACCAACAAATAAAACACAATAATTTGCTGGTTTCATATTTTCTTTTTGTTGCACGTACCCAAAATAAGTTTGAGAGTCTACGGAGTATCCAATAATATATTCGTTTACAGAGAGTGTGTACGCGGCGGATTCAATTTCATTATATATACTTTTTTCGGTTTATTTTTGACTCGATTTTTTGTCTTCTTCTTCTTCGTCATCGTGCAACAAAAGGATGAAGAAAAAAATATGAATAAGCCCGTGTTTCACACGGCATTTGTTGTTTTCCATATACATACGAATAAATCGAACGCATGGTCTACGTGTGTAAAGCGGCTTGTCGAAGTGCAGGGATTTTTTTCTCTCGTGTTATCCTTATTCACTCTTTTCAATTCTCTTTCTCTCTCTCTCTCTCGCTCTCTCTTTCTCTTGGTCTGTGTCTATGTTCGTCTTTTTTTTCCGCTCTCGCTGGATTTTTCTTTATCAGACCGACGAAATATATAAACAGTGAGAAAAAAAAAGAGTTTTGCACACACATAAATACATAGTGGAACCAATACCACTGTATTAAACATGCTCACCCCTTTTCGAAATAGAAGTATAGGTCCGCTCGCTGTTTTTTTTTTTGTCTTCTTTCCTTTCGCCACTCTTTATACACATATCAAATTTTGAGCAAACCGAAGAGGATTTTTTTTTCACAAAATGTATAAAAAGCAATAGCGACGAATTTTCTAATATCGTCTCTTTCAACCGCATTGCCTTAGTTTTTTGTGTATCGTACATTATGGGTATGCAAACTATGTGTAGTTTCAAATAGTAAGTGGATCCATAGTGAGGATAAACACCAGTACATGTAAATAAATAATAGAGCTGCATGATCAGGAGCATTAAAGGTATAGACGAGCATATATACACAAATTAAAAAGGCGAACATACTCGATTCGGAATATAACACAGAAAATGAATCGAGAGAAAGAGAAAAAAAAAATTATAGTTAAATCACACATGTACCAAGAGTGTGTTGAATGTGTATATTGACTGAGTGCTATATAACAATAAATAAAGAAATGAGAGCGACCGGGTGAAAGAAAGTAAGACTGAGTGAGCAATAGTATTGACGATATGGTATCTTTGGAAGAGAGGTCAAATTTATTTGTTTCAAATGTATTGCTTTCGTATTGTCACTGTTATATATGTACATATTATGGTACCATCATTGCATGGCATGGTATGGCATTGCTGTTGCCACTACTTCTGGCTCTTTTAGTTTCCATTAGTCAATTTACTCACTGTTTATTTACGCGCTTTGACTATTTCTCTCCCATCAATTGAAAATGGTAAGACGAGGAGGATTCATGAATTTTGTGTACATATTTTGGTCTATACTGGCGCTCTATCACCGACATCGTTTCTACTGTCGTTACTGTTGCTGCTCCTACTACGATGCTCTTGTTATGGTCGTTGTGTTGTATTGTTGTTTTTGTTGTTGTTGTTGTTGCTGGGTATTTTTGGCATTGTAATATATTTCGTATATTGTGTCTCCTTACTCCTGTTTTGATATCAAGAGCAAATAGTCCCCCACACACACACACATACATAATGTATGCATGTGTATATAGTATGTATCTTGTAAAAGATATTGTCAGAGCGATATAATGGAAAATGTGAATGGAGAATGCGAATCGAGAAAATCAGCATGAAACGTTTGGGCGTTTAGTGAAAGCCATATGTACATGTATTTTGTGCAATACAAATAATCAAATTGACGACGATTTACTCGAAGGATCGACGAATGTATGTATGGTTTTTTTTTGTCACAGCACATTCACTCTATTACAAAGGCAACGAATTAAAAAATCGCAATTCATTTGATACAAACAATTTACATACATTCGGTTGTTTTTTCTTGAACCATGATGGAAATGCATCGATACATACACATGATTTTAATATAAACAAATGCAAATATGACAGTTCATTCCACGTGAATTTAAACAATACGTTTGCTTTCGGTTCATGACACTTTTCAACAATACCGAACGACAAAAAAAAAATTACGTTGAAACTTTCCCGGCAGTTTGAACAGATAAAATAAAAAGAAAATAAAACTGTTCTAAAACTTACCGAAAATCATTATTTTTGAGTGTATCCGTTAAAAGCCGCAAAAGGTAAATATCAACTGAACGATTTTTTTTTAAATAACAATAGAGTTGCTTTTTTATGTCTGTGTTAGTCTTTAGCAGAAGTTAGATAAGCAATGTTCACAATTGATGTTCATATGGAATTTAGTTTAATAAACAAACACACCATAAGCATTTCTCTATTCCTTTTCTGTTATGTTCATTGAAAAAAGCGCGCTTTTTTTTCAAGTTTTACTCTTCTTTCATATGTTCATTGGTTGTGTGCTGTATTTTGTTTTCATATGATGTTTTCTCTTTTCTGTTATATTCATTAACTCTTTTCCATTCATAAAATAGTGAGCCAAATGGATAGATTGTTTTATATGCTATTTAGAATGTGGTTAACGATTGTGCTTTTTGTTTTCTTTTGGTCCTATTCGTTCGTTAGTATTGTTGCTTTTCTTCTATCGAGAAACAAAATGTATTTCTACTTCGTTGATATTTTTATTTTAATAATTATAGAATTATCACCACTCGACCAAACAATAAAGGAAAAACTCACTCAAATTTCACTCTTTTACTCATGTTTTCCCTGTCTTCGAACTGTATGCACTCTGTTTCATTGCTCTTTTTCTATTTTCTCAATTACCAATATTAACTGTCACTTCTATGTCAATCGTTCTCACTCTTGCTTTATCAACCGTATGTTTTGTGGTATAATTATTTTGAAATTCATGCATTGAAACAATAACATTGGACAAAATTCAATACACAAAAATCGTTTCAATGCAAATATTTGTTTGTCGTTTTATTAAAAGACGGTGTATCAAAATGAAATGTATATTAATTTAAATTGTTATCGTTTTTTTCTTCATTTTCTGTTTCATCGAAGTTAGTTTTTTTTTATATTTAATATTGCCTGAATTGCAGGCCGAATCATGAAAAATAAATAAATTTTGTGTAGAATGTGTAATGAGTGATTAAATTGGTATCGTAATCAATCGATCAGCGGAAAACGAATACATATAATTTAGTGTGTGTGTGCGTGTATGTGTTTTCTTTATTTCTTCTTTCGGTTTCAATTCGAAGCACATTTAATGAAAATCAAGGAGATTTTTCCCGATTTGTTCGTTTATTATTATTTTTTTTTTCATAAATATATATACATTTTTTTTATAAAATCGACAAAAAGTTAAATAATTCACTAGAGATGTACTATCAATTTCAAATACACACACCATATACGTCCATTTAGCACACGATATGACAGCAGAAAAATGTGTATAAAATAACAAATTGTTCGACAACTGGCACCCACAATATCGAAAACGTTTATCTGTTCGATGTCAAAAATGAACTGAAACTACGAGGTGTAGAGCTGAAATAAAATGTTCAAATTATCAAAAAGAGGCACACAGAAGAGAGCAGCAAGCAAGCAAAACCAACGGTGTATACAAAACACTAACAGCAGTAGCAACAGCAGCAACAGCAGCGGCAGCAACGGAGACGTCGGCAACAACAGCAGCAGTAACAACAACAACAATAACAACAATACGTACACATACCTCGCATCGCATAGTACTTTGGGTTCGTCGGAAATCGGCCTCTTGTCGCATTATATCGGTTTAAATATTTGTATATCGACAATATGTAAGGCAAACTATATACCGAGGGAGAAGTGAATAAAAAAAGAGACAGATACACACATACAGAATATATATGTACTGAGTGCGTTGTGAGCATTCGACGTTCGACCGCTTCGGCACCGTTGAACGTGTCGACCGAACGACATGCGATGTACGACGTGCGATGTGCATTGCTTTAAGTTACATACAAACAAATGGCACTGAAAATCTGTTTGAATCAATGGTAAATGTTCTCTTTCGCCACCACACCATTTTATAAACACATGAAATGAATATTTTTTTTAATCCCAAAAAATAATTTGAAAAGAATGTTTATTTACAAAAAATGTAAAATTTGAATTATTGTAAAATAAAATAAAAAAATTTTTTTTGAAATTTTTTGAAATTTTTTGACGGATAAAGATGTTGAATCCCATTGTGGCAAATACCATATTCATCGGTTGATCTTATTGTATGTATCTTAAGAGAAAAGACTATCACGGCATCAGATACATGCCGTACTTACATTTTCGAAATCATTTTTAACAATATATAGAAGAGCGCTCAATCATGACTATATGGTTTGTATGCTTATACAATATACGTATTGTATGAAATGAATGCGATGATGATATTACTTTGGTCACCATACTCTCTAACACTCTCTTGTGCACGCAACGATGATATTATTTGATGGAAAGCGTGTGCGCACATCAACAGTCAATGTACAGTTTCAATATATATAAACATATATAAGCGACGTACGGACAACGGCCGTAACGCAAATGAAACGCACGCTTTACATGTACATTATATTGTTAATCATACGACTGTCTTTCTTGACGGCAACTACGACCGAACAAAACGAAAAGTGCGAGCAAAAAGCAACGATAACGATTCAAAGAGTGAAACACATTCAAGCTATTTAGTAATAAGCTGAAAACCGAAAACAACAACACACAGATATAAACATTCGAATCGAGTAACAGCAGCAACAGCAGTAATAACATCAGCGGCGTTACAGTTTGCTTACCGTCATCACTGCATATATCCACAGATATAACATAGCATATGAATACGTGTGACGATTAAATAATAGGGTGGATCGTAAAATAATCTATTCGACTTGTAGTTTCCAATTGGTTGAAATGGGATTTTTTTTGTTGTGGCTGAATAAATGTGTGTGTGAACTACTTTGGTGCAACTCAATTTGTAGATACGCAAATGAACAATTTTGTTGATTTATTTGTTATCGGTTGAATCGTATAGATATTGTAAAAATTCACTGTGAACGCAAACTTAATGCGATAGCCAACCATATTAATGAAGATACCATATATATACTTATCTGAAGCACTTAGTGTAAATATCATTCCATTGACAATAAATGACACCCATTGATTTTTATTCATATACGAGACACATATGTATGATTTTTTGTACGTTTCTATTCAATCTATTGCCAAGAGTAAATATTATTCGTGTAGTTGAAATTATTGCATTGTTTAATGATTTTTATGGAATTCATTACTCTTACCCCCAAAAAATTATGCCCACTAATTGGCCAATGACAGATGGCGCACACACATACATACACAATGCAACAATCATTTACTTCTGATCAGCATATAATCTGTCACTTACATTATTCGAAGGAGAGCGGAGAACTTCTGCCCTACATTTCAAAATCTTTAAAATTCAGTTTCGGTTTTACCAAATAAACACAAATCTGTATGCAAAACTGTTATTATTATTATTATTTGTGAAAAACAACAGACACTTCGGTGCTTGACCTGGATTATTTGCTCGTCTCTCTCTGTGTGTGTATCGGCAATGTTGAATCTGCCCGATTTTACTTTCGCATTTGATTGACATCTGTAATTGACGTCACACTGTTACTTCGCAACATCAGTGTCTTTTTATTGACAAGGTCCATCCAATGACATTTTAGGAAAAAAAACAAGCTTTTGCCGATGCAAAAATAATCTTCGTCGTCATATTTTCTGTTGCATTTCTCTCTCATTATCTCCCTCTATTTGTCACTTGTCCCGAAGATCATATTTGCATAAGTGGTTTTTAAGCTGTCAATGTTCAATTTTGATGAAATGCTGGATGGACCTTAACGTTGGCACCAGCAATCAATTCGTTCCCAAAATGTTCGCTAAAAGGAAAGTAGAAAATTGCAACGAAATACATGGTCAGTTGTACAATGTAAATGCCATCGTGATGAATCATAATAGACACAATTCCTGTTGTTATGCAATTTTCACCTATAGCGTTTGGAGGGATAAAAAAAACAGGGATATGTATTGGTGCATATATATTGAATCGAATATTGTCGTTGGCAACGATGTGAACGAAAACACGAAATAAAGAAACGATAGTTCGCGCTGGTGTGTCACACAGCGTTGAATGGGATAAGGCAAAGCATATTTTGATATAATCAATTCGTAAGTGGAATTTGTGCGAATCGATTTGGAATAGAATTATTGCGCGCGCGATTGACGAGTCTCGCAGCTAAACAATTTGAATTGTCGCGCCGCTGCTGTTCTACCGTCACCATCATTGTCACCATCATCATCGTTGTCGTGGTTGTCGTCGATTGCCGACAAAATATTATTATGCTTACATATGAAATTCATATTAATTAATAGCACAAGCGTATAGTAGCACTTTGTATGTGAAACCCTAGTAAAACCAAATATTCCATTATCCCCGCAGGCGTTGACTTGAATTGAATCACATACATAAATAGCAAAAAGGCGACTACAAGAACATTTATAGCACCAACGGCCACAATGTGAACAACAACCACGGTTACAGAGCGACAGCAAATAGCTGGCTGATCGAACAGCAGTGAAGCAATAACAACAACAACAGCAACAGAAGGAGAAAGAGACCGAAAAAAAAACAAGTCACCCAAATATCGAATAATCATTGGTGACTATACTTACATCTATTCATATAATACGGTATTAAATGTGTGCAAAAGAACGAGTGTATGAACAAAGCAAAGTGAAGAGAAGAAATAACAAAAAAAGTATACACACTCGTAATGTACGCTATATCATAGCGTCTATTCGGAATGAATCTCTCTATTCTAGTGTCTATGTCTGCACATATTTACATTATCGTACGATCCGCGCGCGCTCGTTCGCTGCATACATGCTGTATTACACACTGTGGTGTACGCTTTCTGTTGATTCAAATGTGCGTGAGTGAATCTCTCTCTCTTTCTTTCTCTCTTTCTCTCTCTCTCTCTCTCTGTATGTATGATTTGGCATTACGTGTATGTATATGTAGTACGTACTCGTACATTTTTTAAATTGTTTTCTTTTTTTTCGTTGATATTTTATTTTACATTTTTTCCCTTCTTTCATTCTTAACTGAGGTTTTCTCATTTAGGTTATTCTTACCGAATGTTCTCAATATAGCACATACACTCATTCAGTACATAGCGAGCGAGCGAACGAACGAGAACGAGCGTGTGAACAAATAAACGAACGAATGAACGACTGTACGTATGAAGCAAGAGAGCAAAATATTGAAGACTGACTAGAACCTTTATACACGACTTGACGATAAGTGAACGCTTACGTTCTTATATTGTTATTATTATTTACACAATGGCCACGAGAAGGGGATCGAAAGCACGGACAGATTGTTTTACACATTTATACAAATGCCATACATGATATATGACATCGGAAAATAGTCAAACTGCCGAAACAGCACAGCCGAAAATCGTTGTAAAATCATCATCATCAAAATCATCACCCTTTCACATCGAATTCGGGCATTTATTTTTGTTATTCTCCCGCAAATACCGAGAATGGAATACGGATTAATCGCTAGAGAATGAAGTATTCAATGCTCGAAACTGCCACTCTACATTAATCTTGAAATCCACAATGCTCTTTTAATTTTTTCAATTCGCGTAAAGTGAAAATTCGTGGCAATTTGAATGATGAATTTTCAATGAAGAGCTTGCTAGTTTGGTCTCTGCTTTTAAATTCAATAACAGTAATAATAATGGAAGCATATTACCTTTCATTATATTTAACCGTCGGTTCATGGGTTCGAGTTGAATGGTGCAAAATCATTTTGGTATAACCAATAGTTATTGTATGTGCAATATCATCGTAGAAGTGGAAAAAGCACACTAACACAGACGATCCTGAATGCAAATGCACGCAAAAACGAACAACGACGGACGCTTTGCGCGAGAAGAAGAAGCGAAAAAAAAAGAGAACTGGGGGTTGTGTGTATTTGTTTGATGTGTGTGGTGGTAGAAATTCTGATTCGAAATGGTTTGTTTCGTTGCAAAAACGGCACTGTGTATAAATAAATAAACTTCGAATACCAGTGCGAACACTTGACGGACGAAGTTGAATAAAGAGAAGGCACTCGAGTCATTTGGCTCGAAAACGTTGCGTATGCATGTGTTTGTATGTGTTTTTGCATGGCATTTTTTTCCTCTCTGCTGCAACCAGTACTATTCGTTGTTTCTCTTGCGTTTTTTGAATGCATGTATATATGCTTTCGAATCTGTATATAAATATGTGTGTGTGTCACATCATTTCTGTCATTC